ACTCTGCCCGCAATGAATTGCTCCAGTTGTAATTCACTCTGTATTATCCTGTATTGCCACGCAAGTTTTTTGATAACAACTTTTATTCCTCGATGCTTCACTCGGATAATACAGCCTCCAACTTGGGTAATCAAACCCAACAGAGAAACATAAAACAATATAAATCAACGATAAAACGCATCGTTCTACTAGGTGTTGAAAAGACACACGTTTAACAACTATAAGCATTAAGGAAAAACTGGTGGTAAGATGGCTAATACTATCACTGTTCCGGACTGTTTCCACTCATTCTCATACATTGCTCATTTTGGCGGCTTCTTCTCTTCAGCTCTAACATTTTCCCTTCGGCCTTGCAGTTGAAGTATTTCTTCCTTTCATACCCCTCTTTAGCTTTATCTTCTTTCCTCCGGTCCTGCAGCTGAAGTAGCTAAAGTGTTTTCTCCTTTTATGACCCTCCTATCTTCCTAATGCTGACTGTCGACTCTTTCTTCGATTTTCTGCAACACACTATGACATCTATGACATCTAAAAAGCTATTTTCACAGAATTCAAAAGTTTTCAGAAAGTATACTTGAACAGCTTATATAGCAGTTACCGCTGACTACTGACACAACAACACTTTACATGTGACCAACAAGAAATAACACTTCTCCGCCAGCGGCATCAAACCAGTATATAAACTGAGCTATTCTGAGCAGCTACCAGTTACCCAATCTTGAGTAACTCCAAACCAGCACCACCGTTCTTGAATATCACTGGTTCACTAGCTTAGACAAAGAACAAATATGGCCAAGACTTTTTCAAAACTTTGAAAAATTTGGATTATACTTGTGGATTTTGCGGCGTCAAAAAGACAAGAACATTAGCCTAAAATAAAAGGCATTTTTATCAGCCAATCTCTCAAATAATTCTACAACGGCCGTCCCCGCAACGAGGTAGCCACACGTGTTTCCACGAAAACATTCTTCCTCATACATCAACGAAAGCCACATGTAGCATATTCATCGAGTTTCCATAAATTAAACAGTAAAGGTAGTTAAAAAATTCAAATATTGGCAGGGAGGACGACAATTACAAAGAAGCTTATGTCTACTAAAAAGTGTTGCCCAGCACGCTAAATGACATTAACACTGTAAAAAAATTATTATGAAACAGTGTTACTCAACGAGTCTGCCTGCGGGGAAGAATTTGGCAGAATAACTGAGCATCAAGATCTCACGACAGGCGTACTACTGTTGACGATTCGCGCGATGGACGTCGATTTCCCTGAGAACGAGCTTAAATACGAGATTTTGAACAGCAAAAAGTCTTAATTCTCAATAAGTATTGCAACACTTTCAGCGCAAAATACAGTCTTTTACCGGGTAGAAGAAGCCGTTCATCAGAATTCGGGTAAAACCCACTACGCAAACGAATTTATTGCTACCAATAAAAAGTTCAGAGATATCACTGTTGGACCCTCATTCTATGATGTGAACTCTGGTTTGTTCAACTGTAAAACCACAATTGCGACTCGTCGGAAGTTGGAACACATTTAACCCGCATTCACTTCTCAGTATTCAGCAGATGACCACTATTTAATTTTTTTGGTCCACGCTCGGACAGAAAATTAGGACAAAAACACAAGTCACAATTGTTGAAACCTTGTGTGGCTCTACAACACTAAAAAAATAATAGTACTCGGAATTGAAAAAAATGGTAAGATTCTTATTT